GCTGACACCCCATGAGGTTCAGACCGTTTTAGAAGTTAAAGGAGGAAATTGGCTTTCAGGAGGCAGGATAACCCAATAAGAGGCCATATTATTAGATTCTCCTGAAGGGACTTTAAAGGTTTGTCAGGTTTTAAATCCTGCCACACTCTTACCTGCTATGATCTCCAAAGACCACAAGCGAGCCCATAACTGTACTGAAACAATAGAACAAGTTTATTCTAGCACGCCTGATCTGAAAGACAGTCCTTTAGAGAATGCAGATGAGGACTGGTTCACTGATGGAAGTAGTTTTGTAGAACGAGGTATTTGCAAAGCAGGATATGCCACAGTGAGTTTACATGACATTATAGAAGCCTGGCCTTTACCTTCCCAAACCTCTGCACAAAAAGCCGAGCTTGTCACCCTCACTTGAGCACTACAATTAGCAAAAGACAAGAGAATTAACATATATACAGATTCGAAATACTCCTTCTCCATCATCCGTGCTCCTGGGGCTATCTGGAAAGAAAGAGGGCTTTTAAACTCAAAGCACTCGCTCATTAGGTATGGTAGTCTCATTTTGGAACTTCTAGAGGTAGTACAACAACCTGCTGAAGTGGCTGTTATACACTGAGGGGACATCAAGAAGAGAACACTCCAGTTTCCCGGGGTAACAGCAAAGCAGACACTGTGGCTAAGAAAGCAGCTCAGGTACAGTCCCCAGTAACTCAAATGGCTCTCATTCCTGACATTAGCCTTTCAACCTTAAACCCCAGTATAGCTCAGAAAATATTCAAGATGCAGAAACTCAGGGATTCAAGAAACAGATCGATGGTTGGTATCAGAATGAAAATAAGAGGGTCTACATCCCTGGCAGCCAACTCTGAAAAGTAGTTAAGGCGGCCCATGAGGCCAGTCATTATGGCCAAGAGACGTTACATCTTCAGCTTAAAACTCTAATACAGGGGAAGAACTTGAAAAAGGTAATACACCAGGTTTCTAAAAGCTGCGAGATATGTTTAAGAAACAATCCAAATACTCACCCCATACCTCCTCCCTTGATAAAACCTGTACAACATCAGGGAACATACCCAAGGAAGGACTGGCAAATAGATTTTACAGTGATGGTTCCATGCCAAGGATTCAAATACCTGTTGGTTTTCACAGACACCTTCAGAGGATGGGTACAGACCTTTCCTGCCAGGACTGAGAAGGCTACTGAAGAATGCAAATGGCTTCTAAAAGAAATCATATCCAGGTTCGGCCTGCCTCGGTCCCTCCAGAGTGACAATGGCCCTGCCTTTACGGCTAAGATAACTCAGAGTTTATCCCAATCCTTAAACATCACATATAAGCTCCACTCAGCGTGGAGACCTCAGTCCTCAGGAAAGGTTGAGAGCATGAACCAAACTCTAAAAAGGACCGTTGCAAAATTATGCCAAGAAACTTAAGAAATCTGGATTAAAATGTTACCCATTCCTCTGATTAGGGTACAGGCTGCCCCCAGAGGAGTTCTAAAGCTAAGCCCATTTGAATTGACTTATGGAAGGCCTTTTCTCAAGGTAGATGATCTTCTAGATCAAGAGACACAACAAACATTAAAATTTATCATTAATCTGGGAGAAGTACAGAAAGCACTCCAAGAACATAGCAACTAGATACTCCTCGAACCTATAAAAGGTGACTTGCTCAATTTCCAGCCAGGAGACTTAGAACTTTTAGACTTGGCGAGAAGGGAGCCCAGGAGACCACCTGATTGAAAAATGGGTGGGCCCATACCAAGTATTATTAACAACCCCCTCTGCCCTCAGATTAGAAGGAGTCACTCTGTGGGTCCATCACTCTCAGGTCAAACCTTTTTCTCCACCTGGACAGCCTGACAAACTCCCTACAAGCCAAGACTCCTATACCTGTGAACTGGTTGAAGGCCTCAAGTGGCTGTTTAAAAGACAGAACAAGGATCTATAGATAAGTATCATGAAAATAAGTGTAGAAGAAATACTGGGAGTTGTCTTCACCCTGGCCATTCTCTTGATCTTTATTTTAGCTGCAGCCTGGGTGATTCCCTTTTTTGACCAACTTATGCATGTTAGTGTATGCTTTAATGAGTCGGTGCTGACACTAGGTGTGATAGAAATCACCACCTAGTATTAACATGGGAAGTCCTTGTTGTAAATTCCTTATCCTTCTTAACATGGCCATAGCAAACTTAGCTGTTCCATTAACCCATTCAGCTTTAACATCCAGTAATGCCAACTATTTAATTAATGCTTCCCAAGCCATTGCTTCAGGAAATAATTTAACACATTGCTGTATCTGTTATTAGACCTCAACAACTGTTGAACAGGGAAGCCCGGATCCCTTAGGGTACTGTCCACCCCCATACACAATATTAACCTGACAGCCTTTGGAACAGCTTTTGGGGCAAAACAACCCCTTCCTATATCTCCATTTCAAGTATCTCCCATACCTGTACTTCGTGAAAGTAACTCCTGCCTCCAAATTTGGGACTTACTAATGTGGACCAACTTTGTTCCCAAACTAGTACAGGCCCCCCGAGTGTTCTGTGAATGCCTTTCCCTTCACATAATGATTAATGGCCCCCAAGAGGCAACAACCCAGTGCCTCCAAAGGATAAATGATAATTTTACTAATTTCAGGAATAAGGTCAATAAAATCCAGAACAAAAATAAAATATACTCATCAGGAACCTACCCTGGTTGCAACCCACTGAATGCAGTCAATGTTACACTATTACCACTTCAAGAGTCCTGGCTAAAACCGATCCTTAATCATACTAGTTTGTTTAACAGTTCAACAGGTATTATCTATGTGTGTCTCCAGAAAGGACTGATGTTCCTTTGTGGCAACATCATGCTAGCATGCATCAAACCATTACATGAAAATGGAATATGTACCATTGGGTTTGCTCATCCCAACCCAGACCTCATTCAACTATATAGAGCCCCTAATCATGTAGAAAGAGGAAAAGGATTAATGATAGCAGGGATAGTAGCCCTCCTTGGAACCATCGCAGGAACCACAGCCAGGTTCCTGTATCAGAGATTAGTAATATCAAACATCACTGCAATCATGGAGACAGCTGCCCAAGATTCAGGGGAAGGAATTAGAGCCCTCAACCTAGCCCTAAATTCACTGGCCAAAGTTGTCTTAGATCATCAAATCACTCTGGACTTCCTTCTGGCCGAGCAGAGGGGAGTCTGTGCAGTCGCCAACACTAGCTGTTGTACCTATGTCAATACTACAGGATAGGTAGAAATTAGAGCAAAAAATCTACTTGACCAGGCTGAGTGGCTTCATAAGTTTAACCAGGGATCAGGAACCCAAGACATATGGCAAGCAGTAAAAAATGTGCTTCCCTCTGTCACATGGTTCCTACCTCTCCTGGGACCCTTATTCGCTATTTTCCTATAGTTCCCCTTTGGTCCCTGTTTATTCAACTTGGTCAAATTCATTACTTCCAGACTTCAAAAGTTTCACCTTCAGATGATGGCTGCTCAAGGATTCCAACCCATTCCATACCAAGATCAAGAGGAAACACAGCCACCCTATGAAAGGCCTTTAGAGATGTGTAGAAAATACAATAGCTTAGCTCAGGCAGCAAGAGAATTCCACTCCTCTAATCAATAGAACCCTGCAATCCTTATCAGCAGGAAGCAGCTTCAGAAGAAGGGACCTCTGTCCCTAAACCCCTCAAGAAGGAGGAGTGTGAATTTCTCAGTGGGGAGATGTGACCAGCTAGGGACGGAAAAGGCCTTAAACGACAAGTTATGTCGGTTAATATTTTTTTCTAGAAGAACAATGGTGCAAATGTTGTTTGCTTCCTCCTAATCTGTCCACTTGTAGCTGTCTTTCAGATCAGCCAATTAGAACTAAAATCCTGGGCATGCATGGTAAGAGACCAGGTTTGACCATCAGATGGCCTCATCCCATAAGTATTGCCTAGGAACCAAAATCACTGGACACACATCATCGAGCGGTGACCGAGCCCATTTCAGAAGTGAGAAGTCCGTCAGCCACTTCTGTGCCAAAATCCTACCCCGACCCCTTTTTGAATATATATGAAGTTAATGGATATGTATGACTTCCCCTTTCCCACGCAGTATAAAACTGCATGCCCAGCCCTTTGTTTGGAGAGAGAGTACTTTCGGGGAGGATCCCCCGTCTCCTTACTTGCTGCGAGTAATAAACTATGCCTTGCTTTAAATCTGCTTGACTCTTAGTTATTCTTAACCAGAGTACAGGTAGCAAACCCACTGCGTTTGGTCATAGTATCAGATACTAAAAGCAAGCTGCAAAGACATCTGACAGCAAGGCAGAAAACTAACATAACTCAGAGCACAGCGACCTGGTGATATTTATCACAGAAGAAAAGAGCCTGGTGATTTTCACATGTTCTACCCGCCTCCCCACCCACGCTCCCCAACCACACTTACCTAGGGTGATACAGTTTTCGTTATCTCTGTGGAGATTAATAAAAACAACTGCCATTAAAATATTAAGTTACATGATTAGACTGTTATTCCCTGAACATTTAGAAAGCAGGAGTTTTCTATAAAAAAATTTCGCTTTTGGAACTTGAAGACAGCTTCAATTATGGAAAATTTTTAGCATACTTGCTTCTATTTTTCCTGAAGATACAACATAAAAGGCAGCACAGTCTTTAATATGTATTCCTACAAACAAACGGTCCGAGAAAAAATGAAGCCAAATAAATTGAGAGTTTTTCATGTTAGCAGCAGGCAAACTGTCAACCCAATCAGGCAGTCAGAATTCTTCTATGCCTCAATTTCAATAACTCAGGTTATGATAAGCCGCGGGCTATGTATTTCTCCAGTGCTTCCACATTCTCTCTTCCTGGAATCGACCCATTTCTGAAATCCTGGGTTGCTCACATTCACTGATGGGAGAGTAGAGACAGTAGGGAGAAGAAGGTGGGACAGGACTATGCTGGCATGTAACTAGGTAATTCCTACTTGCTTTATTGCAAATCTGACCCAAATCTCACTTGACAACTTTAAAAATTACCTTACCGTTTTTCCACCCTGGTGAAATCTTTTCTGCTTGCACAATTCTTTCTCGGGAGGACAGTAAGTTGGAGTCAAAGCTCCAATCCCAGTCTTGAAGCTCCCGCTGAACATTTGTCATCTCTGTAAATTTAACATTTAGACACCATTCAACCCAAAGAAATAACAAGAACTAAGAGACATACGTAAATAGAGACCTATTCTAGTGTATGAAATACTTCCATGTTCCTCTCAGGATTGAAACCCTAGTGAGCGTGCTAGAAAATACACAAGCACAATCCACTCTTCTCTCATCACATCCATGCTTTCCTTTGTGACGTATTTAATTTAAAGCTCTGATGCCCAAAACACCCTCTTCCCCCAAAGTAAGCCCCTTGATACAACAAAGGCAGAACAGGTTGGTGCAAGAGCGTTTCTTTTCCGTTCTACTACTTTATTCTAGGAAAGAATTAGAAGGCTATGGACCACACAGTTTAACTTTGTTATTCCCTGACAAATGGTAGCCTCACTGAGAAACACAAAGCACATATCCGCCCAAACACTTTCCATCACTCCCCCCCGAAAAGAGCCACCTCCAAAACACACACAAAATACTGAACACAAAAAGAAAACCATACCCCAGGGAAATGTAGACAACTTACTTATGAATAGAATCAATGAATCTTCCTTCAGTGCGCTGCCTTTATTCTGGAGTTAATCTTGTATGAACAGGTAAGTCTTTCATTACATTACAATCATTCCGCATTTTATCAGTTAGACCTTTAAATAAAACATTAAAGTACGTTTTAAAAAGACAAGAGTCAAATTTAGTAATATTTGGGGTGTACGGTGGCGATGAGTGAAAAACAATTCCAAGGAGATGAAATAGTTTTAAGGGTTTTTTTGGGGGTTGGGGGCGTGGGGTGGAGAGGGGAAGTAGAGGACTTCCAGGGCAGAATGGGTTAATAGTCCAGTGGCGTCACTCCCAGCACACAGTCCCCAGAGTACCTGTCAGGCAGCAGAGCTCAGGAATGAGCATGGCGGATCCTGGTAACCAGCCACCAGGGCCCCTCCTCCTCTTTGACTGATCAACACGGGTTGTTTCAAGTGGGTGATTTCCTGGTTATATTGCTATTGAAGGCGAGAAAGGTGGCACCATTCAGAGAAACTGTCTTTAGTAACATGCCAGTGGGCTACTGTTTTGTCTTGTTTTTAATTAAGAATTGATGTAACTGCTAGGATGGTATCAGTTTCAATTTAAAAATACTTTTAATCCCCCTAAAACAGGCTATGATTCATATGCTCTACTGAGTATCTCACCTTTTTCCCTAAAAGTCTTGACTTCTTGTCACAGTTCCATTTCTTGTTTTCAAAACAGTCCTTTCTCCACGGCCTCCTTCCTCTAAAACCACTCGTACTTCAGTGAGAACTTACTTAGGAGAGGAATCTCACTCTAAGAGTAACAGGGGGAGGGGAGAGGTTTTCATGCTACAGGACCTTTTTAATTAGGAAAACTTTTTATAAAATCCTGACACTTTCAAGAAGTCAAATTTCAATTAAGTGATATCGTTGATAGGTGCCATCGAGTCGGTTCCAACTCACAGTGACCCTGTGCACAACAGAACAAAACACTGCCCAGTCCTGCACCATCCTCACAATCGTTATGCTTGAGCCCACTGTTGCAGCCACTGTGTCAATCCATCTCGTTGAGGGTCTTCCCCTTTCTTGCTTACTCTCTACTTTACCAAGCATGATGTCCTTCTTCAGAGACGGATCCCTCCTGATAGCATGTCCAAAGTATGTCGGAAAAAAAGTGATACTAAGATATCCCATCTTAAGATTCCCCACATTACTGTGAACCTTTTTAAAACTGATTGACCATAAGCTTCCCTTCCAAAGGCCTTTCTCTCTCCTGCTGAGTCTTTTCTAGATATTATCTTTAATCCCAAGCACTGCTTAAAATAAGTTTTTAAGGCTACGGTTTATGACGAACTCTCTGGCCTTCAGCTCCACTCTGCCATTCCAGAACCATGTCAGACGTCTCTTGAACTATCTTCACTAGAGCTTCTGGTCCTGTGTTTTAAAGACCTTCTTTAGTTATCTTCTCCTGTATCACTCTAACAACATTCTAATTTCCTATTTAATTCAGCTAAAGCTTTTATTATAATAAAAAACACACATCTCCATTGAACATTCAAAAAAAAAAAAAAAAAAGAATAGCATCATGGCCATTTCTTTAGTCTCATTCTCTCATCAACAGACAAAGAGGTGCCTGCCTGGTCCTTATTCCTGTCACGTGAAAAGGTCCTGGCTACTTGTCTCATGAACTGTGATACCATGAATCTTAAATTCCTTGATTTTGTCCTATATTGAGCTCTTTACCAATTATCCAAGAAGAAAGTCAATCTTCTTATTTCAAACAAGAAAATTTCAAGGACAACACTCTTATTTCACCATTCAAACCCAACCAGCAGCACCTCAGGAGACAGGCCTGGCGATCTGCTTCTGAAAGGTCACAGCCTTGAAAGCACTATGGAGCAGTTCTACTCTGACACACATGGGGTCTCCATGAGTTGGAATCAACTTGGTGGCAACTAACAACTACAATTATGTATTTTATAATATTGTTCTCTTTATTAGGCATCGAATTGTCAACAGCCACCCTCCTTACACCATGTCAGTTACTTGGGCATACACACAGCAGAAGCATGGCATTAATTTCAGAAATGCCCCTACTCTCACACCCTATCTAACCAAAAGGCCTTAAATGCATAGTTCCCAAATTCACAACTCTGGGACACCCCTTTCTATATGCTTAGGGCCTAAACAAAAAGGCTACCAATTCTTTTAACATCTTCCCTACACCCACACTTCTGTTTAACGTTACTGTTAAACCTTTTCTTTTTAAAACTGATTCATCACAAGCTTCCCCTCCAAAGGCCCTTCTCTCTCCTGTTGCGTCTTTTCTAGAAATTATCTTTAATCCAAAGTCACTTATTACTAAAACTGCATTTGTAACAGAAGTCCTAAGAATGCCTCAATTCCAGTATCTCAACCCTATTCCCTTTCAATTAATTATATCTACTAAAAACACCTGGCTACCTGTTGTGTGAGGAGCTTCCCTGCAGCAGGAGTCCAGTTAAGACCTATAGCACAGACGTGTGCAGAGTGTTTCAGACAGAAGGAGCAGCATGGCCAAAAGCTCAATGGTTAGGGAAGAAGGTCAGTGTGGGTGACAAGCAAGAGGTGTGTCTAGAGGAGTACACAGGGTCTCTCTGGGTAAAAACTGACGCCCTTACGACGCAGGAGCAGTTGGAAGCCACTTAACTGTTCTGGGTAACCTCAAGATTTGTATGAGTTTGAAAATGGATCAGAAAGCAGCAAAAATGAACACTAAGAAGCTAGTCAGATAAATTAGAGAAATGGAGCCCCCCAAAAAGATGACAGCCACTTAGAAAAGGAGAGAAATGAAGGAATTTCTGATAACAAGATATAAGAGTGAAGGCCTCTGACAAGTAATTGGTTATGGAAAGGTGAGGGAGAAGCAATGGTGGTCTGAGGCTTAAAAATTCTTCATTATTTATTTGTTCATTCATTTCACAAACATCTGAGTGTCTACATAGTGCCAGGCACTGGTCTAGGCACTGGGGACCTATGAACAGCAACATTCTTGCTTCTGCGGAACTCACATGCACGCACAGCAATCAAGAGCAGTAACTAGGGGGCTGGCCTGGGGGATATCAGACGTTCAGAGCTGGGCAAGCGAGAGGTGTCTTTAACAGCCAAACACTTAGAACAACAGGCAGATGAGCTTAGAGATGTCTGGGCTAGAGCACACCCATGTTCACTACAGCACTGTTCACAATAGCAAAAAGATGGAAACAATCTAGGTACCCATCAACGGATGAATGGATAAACAAATTATGGTATTGATATGATTATGACATTGATAATATTTATCGCAATTCAATTTATACTACCTCAAGATTATTTTAGCATTCATCCATGATTTCTTCTACTGCTTATGGATTCCACTGGTTATGGTTAAATATTTGGAGTACATGGAATTTAATGTAAGGAATAAAGCAGGAAGCCAGCTTTGTTTTCTAAATAGTTAGCTGTTGCCCCAACACTATTTAGTGAACAGCCCATTTCCCAGGCCCACTCCAGAATTGAAATGTTAATTGTATTACACTAATCTGCCATGTGTTTGTAGGTTGTTTCTCCGTTTCTTCCTATACCAAAACCAAACTTGTTAACCGTAGAAGAATCTTATATCAGGCATCCACATAATCCATTTTTGCAAAAATGCAATGAAAAAGTACAATTTTTGGAATCAAAACTGGCACTCTTGAGCAGCCATCTAAGAGACAACTAGTGGTTTCCCCCCATCCGGAGTAAAGGAGAGTGAAGAAAACCAAAGACTCAAGGGAGCAATTACTTTAAAGGACTAATGGAGCACGTGCACCACAGTCTACACGACCCCGAGGAGCAAAAGAACTACATGGTGCCCAGCTACCACTACCAACCGCTCTGACTGGGATCACCATAGAGGGTCCCGGACAGAGCGGGAGAAAAATGTACAACAACAACAACAAAAAAATCAAATTCATAAAAAAAGACCAGACTTTACTGGCCTAATAGAGACTAAAGGAACCCCCCTAGACTATAGCCTACACTCAACAAAGTAAGTGTTTACTGTGGGGCAGGCACTGTGCTAGACAGTAGGGCTAAAATGGTAAAATTAAATAGAAGCTTCTGTTTTTCAATTGATTTATTATAAACAGATCTAGGAGTGAAAACTGTTAGGGAACTAAGATGTTGGTAACTGGCTTTTTCTTTTACATTTGATATATATAATCTACTATTAAATTGGGCATTTAACTTAGACATCGTACCAGGCTCTCTACATAATTCTGATACATACATACTGTATTCCTCCTGGATCTCCCCATACCAAAACTAGTATTTTCCTCATCATTCATCTCCCATAATTTCATTCCTAATTAGTGGTATCACTATCCACTGTCTCTAAAGTGAAGGACTGTGTCATTTATCTCTAAAACTACTCCTTTCTACCCCTACACCTGATTCAACAATTCTCTCCATTTCTTCAACTTCTATTAAGTGCCTACTATAACGGCGGTGTAGTGGTTAAGTGCTATGGCTGCTAACCAAAAGGTCGGCAGTTCGAATCTACCAGACGTTCCTTGGAAACCCTATGGGGCAGTTCTACTCTGTCCTATAGTGTCACTAATGAGTTGAAATCAACTCAATGGCAACGGTTTTTTTTTTTTTTGGTTATAAGCCAGGTTGCTGGGCATCAGGTATGCTGCTGTGTATAGAAGTGCCCTTTTCCCTCCCCTACGCAGTGAAAGCAGTATCATCAGGTTATTTTAGGTAGAGGCCTCAGAGCTAGATTGTCTGACCCAAGTTCTTTACATTTTACATGAGTGACCTCAAGCAAGCTACTTAACCTGTGACACATGTCTTCACATGTAACAGAGTTATAACCTACCACACAGGGCAATTGTAAGGATCAAATGAGAACACATGTAAAGCATTAAAAAAAAACAAAACACAAGCACATAGCGACCATTCAACAAATATCCCCAGTGGGAAGGGCAAATAAAATTATAACTACAAATTTTAAAAAGTGTAGTAAGCAAGCAGAACGTTCTTACCGAAAACAAAGCAGGAACTAATTGACATGCTGAAGACGACTGCCTGTAAGGAAGCTAGCTTTTAATCTGAGATGTAGAGGGATTAGAACTGGAAGGTAGGTGCCAGGGAGTCCTCTGGACAAGTGGGAACAACTCGTGCCTAAATGCTAAGACCCTGGCTTGTTCGTGGAACTGAAAGGAGTCCAGTGTGACTAACTTATAATGAGTGAAGGGAGCTGATGAACTTTAAGGTACGAAAGGATCATACTATCCAGGCCCTACAGACGATAATAAGGACCTTGGATTTGACGTTCAGCACAATGAAAAGCCACTGAAGATTTTAAATAGTGAAAGAAAGACAGGATACCATTTACATTTAAGATCCCTCTGCTTTAAATCAGGTTCTTTCTTTCCTGAGTTTTAACAGCTTCTAAAAGTCTTTGCTCCCTGGTGGTCTCCCTAGAAAGACAAGTCTAATGACATTCTCCAATTTTAAAGACCTCTTTGACTCCAGTGTTTTACAGGATCAAAAGCAAACACATTTAACTTACCATACAGGGACAGATTACTCAATTAGCAAGGTGTGCGTGGCGTACTTGTGCTTTCTCACTAATTTGTAGCGCACAATTGCACCTGTTGTGAAAACCCATGTGAAAATTCTTCACTAAGATCAGTAAATTAACACAATTAAGCCCACATGTACCTTGCTTACCGGTTAATCTGCCCCTTACCATATAAGAGGAATTTCCAAAGTAAAATACACAAGATAATCCACTGAGGTGTCAGAATATTAAAATTAATATATTGAATCTCATTTTAAATGACTTTGTTTTATAAGATGTATATGTGACAAGGCTATACATGCAGACTTAACTTACATATTAGGCATATTGCTGTATACGCTCAAAAGTCTTACTGATGGTGTACAAAATCAAATTTGGACATCTCTGCTTTAGAACCCAGCAAACATTATTTTCTTCCACTCACCAACCGCAAGCAACTTCATGATTCACCATATACCATGGCACAGGCTTTGCCTAAAGTGCCTTACCTTACTAACGCAGAAGAATTCAGTTTATCCTTTAAAGACAAGCCCGAATGCCATCTCTTTCACCTTTCCTACAAAGCTTTGTTTTCACCTTTATGACTGTCATCACTGCACTGCATGATAATTCTTTTCTCTCTCACACGCACTTAAGAACTCCTCCAGACTAGGCTGCTAATCACAGTTTAGTCTTTAGCAACTAGCCCGGTGTTCCGAGCACCTAGCTCAGGGTCCAGCACCACAGCAATAATTCTGGGGGGCTGGGGAGGGGAACAAACCTGAGTCATAAATTAAACTGCCATCTCCAATAGGTAATACGTTCAAGGAAGCACAGCGGTTCTCAAAGTGTGGTCTCTGACTGGCAGCTTCAGTAGCACCTGGAACTTGATAGAAGCGCAAACTAGGGGTGGTCCCACTCCCATCTCTATTGAATCAGAACAGAATAAAGCACCCTCCAGATGATTCTGATGCAGGGATTTTGAGAATCGCTGTAGTACACCACTCACAGAATCAAATACACATTTGGGGGTATGATAACTGTATGTCTGGGTTTACCCAGTATAAATCTGGTTTTCAGCTTTGTCTACATGTAACCATTAGTGTCCCCTTTCAATTTCAAAAGCATCCCAGTTTAGACGACAGATTATGTCCATTATGTAGTCACTCCTAAAGTAAGAATGTAAGTTTGTGCTTCCAATAATCACACTATCTGGAAATGATTTCTATTTATACCAAAATGACGTCCATCTATGTAGCAAAAACAAACAAACAAACCCCACAGAAAACAAAATGAGGCTACATACCGTTCCAGCTGGCTTTAGACAACACCCGTACAAATAAAAGGATGGCTAAAATTCATGATGTGAATCTTCTTTCTCTTGTCTCAGCTACAACAGCCTCCTCCCTAGTCCTCTAACACCCCAGGAACGCCCCACCACGTGGACATTCATCTCTTTGCCTAGTAAGTCCCCAGCACCCCAAACCACAGGACTGGCTCCTTCCTTTATGCTAAGCCTGCTCCAAAGTCACCCAGCAAGGCCTTCCCTGTCAGTCTCTGAAATGTCACCCCCCTCATCTTTTTTCTCCTTCGCTGTCATTACACGATCTACTTGACCTATTTTATTGTTCGACCCCTCCCTCCCTAAAATGTAAGCTCTGTGAGGACGAAGATTTTTCTTTGATTTACTCCCCTTTATATCCAGGGGCTAAAATGGAGTCTGGCCACATATAATTGAATAATTTCGTTACGTTAGAGTCCCGTAAGTGTGCTGGTATTGACATCACCAAGATTTTCTTCCTAGTCTAGATGGTTCACTCCGCAGAACTCAGCAGTCAACGTTTCTAAGCTCGCATCCCCACCCCGACTCTGGCCCAGCGGGGAGGCGGCAAGCGGGGAGACACACAGGTGCCTCGGCTGCCCTGTCCACCCGAACTGAGGGATCTGCTGTCCCCGCAGCAACCTGGCCAACCTGGAGTTAAACCCACGCACAGCGACCCGGCACCAGAGCCCCAGGGAGGTGAAAGTTGCACATAAGCGGGAGCTTCACTGTGCCAGATGTTCTGAAATGCCACCAAAAAGGCTTTTACGTCACCGAGGACAATTAAAAGGGGATCTGTTTAATTAGCCCACCTCCCGGAAGCCCGCAGCCCCGCGGCGACAGCAGCCTCACCAGGCGAACGACTGAAGCAAACGTTCAATGTCCGATGTTGTCGGGGCGAGAGCCGCTTCCTCAGGGGCGCAAGTAACAAGTAACCTCAGGGGTGGGCGCGCCGGAATCCCACCCCTCACAGCCTCTGCAACCCGCACATCTACAGACCTCGCCCCTCGCCACCTGATTCTTAAATCTTGGCCGCAGCGCCAAGGGTCAAGGAGCTGCTGGATCTCTCCGCGCTGCGACTTTGCGTCTTCTAATACTGCCCTCAACGGCCCCTCGCCTTCCTTAGCCCGACTGAACCGCCGCTGGCTGTCCCCTCCCCTGCAGCCTTAGGCTCCAACCCGTGAGGGATGGGGGACGCGGGTGCAAGGCGGAAGTGGGCGCGGCCCTCTTTTTCTCGGCGGATGGACACTGTTGCCCATGGTCGAAGGGGTCAGTTAACTCGCAGATGACACCCGGGCCAATGGCTCGGCAGGCAGGTGCGCACTGCGCTCTGATTGGCTGCCACGCAGAGCGGAGCGTCCGAAGGGGTGGGGCCACGGGAGCCCCCCTTCCCCCGCCCCCCCACCGCCCGGTTGTTGCTGGAGAGTGACCCGCAGGCAGCGGGGATTGATAGTTCCATTCCCAACACGTGGAGCAGGGTAGGCACCGAACAGGCCCTCAGTAAACATCGAAATTGTGACCAGGTGGGCTTTGACCACCCTACTTTAAAAAGTCAACTTGATCTCTGGCTGGCCCTTAAAATTAGAACCCATTTCACACATTATATATAGAAAGGAGATTTGCATTTTGCCCCCGCAGAAAATAAAATGCATGCTAAGGCCTGGGTGTCAGGTGGCTGTATACCTAAACATTTAACTTTCCAAGTCAACAAATTGTGTACTGAGTGCATGCATGCTAACGTGTAAGGTGCATCAGCCTCACCTGGCGGGCTTGTTGAAACCAGATTACCAGCCTCCACGTCCATAAATTCTGATTCAGCAGGTCTGAGGTGGGGCCCAAAATTTGCATTTCTGACAAAGTGCAGGTGTTGCTTGATGCTGCTGGTCCAGGGGCCACACCGTTAAATAAGGCACTGAGCTAGATGCCTTCATCAGGAGTTCATTTCTTCACTGAGGCAATATCAACACAAAATAATTGAAGAGGAGTGGTGTCACATTCATCATCAAAAAGAACTTTTCAAGATCCATCCTGAAGTACAATGCTGTCAGTGATAGGATAATATCCATATGCCTACAGGGATGACCAGTTAGTATCACCATTATTCAAATTCACACACCAACCACTAATGCCAAAGATGAAGAAACTGAAGACTTTCACCAACTTCTGCAGTCTAAAATTGATCAAACATGCAATAAAAATACATTGATAATTACTGGTGATTGGAACGCAAATGTTGGAAGCAAAGAAGAAAGACTGGTAGCTGGAAAATGTGGCCTCAGCGAAAGAAACGAGCTGCAATTTTGAAGGATTCCATGGGCAAAATATTGAACAACACAGGAAACAGTAAAAGAAGATGGAAAGAATACACAGAGCCACAGTACCAAAAAGAATTGGCCAACATTCCAACCACTTAAGGAGGTATTGAAGAAATAAGTCCAAACTGCACTGAATGGAATGACAAAAAACAAGTCTCCAGGAATTGACAGAATACCAATTGAGATGTTTCAACAAACAGATGCAGCACTGGAGGTGCTCACTCATCTATGTCAAGATATTTGGAAGACAGCTCCCTGACCAGGTGACTGGAAGAGATCCATATCTGTGCCCATTCCAAAGAAAGGTGATCCAACAGAATGCAGAAATTATCGAATAGTATCAGTATCACGTGCAAGTAAAATGTTGCTGAAGATCATTCAAAAGCAGTTATAGCAGTACATTGACAGAGAACTACCAGAAGTTCAAGCTGAAATCAGAAGAGGATGTGGAATGAGGAATATCACTGCTGATGTCAGATGGGTCTTGGCTGAAAGCAGAAATACTAGGAAGAAGTTTTCCAGTGTTTTACTGACTTTGCAAAGGTATCTGACTGTGTGGATCCTAACAAATTTTGGATAACATTGCAAAGAATAGGAATTCCAGAACACTGAATTGTCCTCATGAGGAACCTGTACATAGACCAAGAGGCAGTCATTCGAACAGAACAAGGGGATACTGCATGATTTTAAGTCAAGAAAGGTATGCGTCAGGGTTATATCCTTTCACCATACCTGTTCAATCTGTATGCTGAGCAAAGAATCTGAGAAGCTGGACTATATGAAGAAGAATGTGGCATCAGGATTGGAGGAAGACTCATTAACAACCTTTGATATGTAGATGACACAACCTTGCTTGCTGAAAGCGAAGAGGACTTGAAGTACTTACTGATGAAGATCAAAGACCACAGCCTTCAGTATGGATTACACCGCAACATAAAGAAAACAAAAATGCTCACAACTGGACCAATAAGCAACATCAGTATAAACAGAGAAAATATTGAAGTTGTGAAGGATTTCATTTTACCTGAATCCACAATCAACACCCATGGAGGCAGCAGTCAAGAAATCAAATGTTATATTGCATTGGGCAAATCTGGTGCAAAAGACCTCTTTAAAGTGTTAAAAAGCAAAGATGTCACTTTGAGGACTAAGGTGCACCTGACCCAAGCCATGGTATTTTCAATGGCGTCATATGAATGCGAAAGCTGGACAATGAATAAAGAAGACCGGAGAATTGACACCTTTATATTATGGTATTGGCGAAGAATATTGAATATACCATGGACTGCCAGAAGAGTCAACAAATTTGGCTTGGAAGAAGTACCGCCACAGTGTTCCTTAGAAGCAAGGATGGTGAGACTTCATCTCACATAATTTGGGCATGTTATCAGCAGGGACCAGACTCCGGAGAAGGACATCATTCTTGCTAAAGTAGAGGGTGAGTGAAAAAGAGGAAGACCCTCAACAAGATGGATGGACACAGTGGCTGGAACAATGGGCTCAAGCATAACAACTATTTTCAGGATGGCGCAGGACCAGGCTGTGTTTCATTCTGTTGTACACGGGGGCACTATGAGTTGGAATTGACTCGACAGCAGCTAGCAGCAACAACATACGTGGAAATTTAATGTAGCAAAGGTGATTTTTTATCAGTGGGAAAAGGATAGATTATTTAATAAATGGCTGGAACAACTACTGCACTATCTGGAATAAAATCATGTATTTCTAGCTTACGCTATATACAAAAGCAATTTCTGGATGGATTTAAGGATTATGTCTACAACCATTCTATTTAAGAAAATATGGGTCACTGGTGGCACAGTGGTTAAAACGATTGACTGCTAAACAAATGTCAGTGGTTCAAAACCAGTAGCAGCTCCATGGGAGAAAGATGTGGCAGTCTGCTTCTGTAGAGATTTACAGCTTTGGAAACCCTATGGGGTTGCTATGAGTCAGAATCGACTCGATGGCAGCGGGTTTGGGTTTATGAGATGCCACCTAAGGGTTGATTATATCTTTGTAACAGACCAGTTACCCAGAAGTTACAAAACAAAAGGTAAACATATTTAAAAATCTAAAATTCTTGTATGATGTAAAGCAATACTTCTCAAATTCATCTACAGATTCAACACAATCCCTGTTAAAATCCCAGCTAGATTCTTTGCAGAAAATGACAAGATGGTTCTAAAATTCATATGGAAATGCAAGGGACCCAGAAAAGCCAAACAATCTTCCAAAAGAACCAACTAGGAGGAATCAAATCGCTCAAATTCACATCATGCAACTCAGCTAAAAAAATCAAGACAGTGTGGTACTGGCATGAGACTAGACATACAGATCAATGAAATAAAATTTAGAGTTCAAAAATAATCCCTTACATTTGGGGTCAACTGATTTTCAGCAAGGGTGCCAAGACAATTCAGTGGAGGAAAGAAGAGTCTTTTCAACAAATGATGTTGAGACAACTGGATATCCACATGCAAAAGAATGAAGTTGGACTTTCTACCTTACACCGTATAAAAAAAAGAACACAAAATGGATCAAAGACCTAAATGTAAGAGCTAAAACTATAAAACTCTTAGAAAAATACATAGGCGTAAATCTTGGTGACCTTGGATGAGGCAATCGTTTCTTAGATTGACACCAAAAGTACAGGGACAAAACAAAAAATAGATAAATTGGACTTCATCAGAATTAAAAAGTTTTCTGCCATTTAGAACATGAAAATACAACTCACAGAATGGGAAAAAAATTTTGCAAAGCATATTTCTGATAAGGAACTTATATCTAGATTATATTTTTAAAACTCCAGAAACTCAATAATAAAATGACAAATAAGCCAATTGAGAAATGGGTATGAGATCTTAATGGTTATTTCTCCAAAGAAGACATACAGAGGGCCAATAAACACATGGAAAGATGCTCAACATCATCAGCCATCAGTGAAATGCAAATCAAAATCACAGTAAGATACCACTTCACACCCACTAGGCTGGCTATAATAAGAAAGACAGATAATAACAAGTGTGGGTGAGGTTGTGGAGAAATTGGAACCCTCATACACTATTGGTGAGAATGCAAAATGGTGCAGCCACTTTGGAAAATAGTCTGGCAGTTTTTCAAATGACTGAACATGGAGTTACTATAACCAATTATAGTTGCTGTCAAGTTGACTCCAACTCATGGCAACCACTTGTGTGTCAGTGCAAAACTGTGCTACAAAGAGTTTTCAGTGGTTGATTTTGGGGGGCAGTAGGTATCCAGGCCTTTCCTTCAAGGTGCCTGTGTGTGGACTCAAACTTCCAACCTTTCAGTTAGCAACCAAGTACCTTTTGCACCACCCAGGATCTCTGGGACGTGTAGAGGTTAAGTAATTTGTCCAAGAGCACATGTTTATTAATTGGCAGTTATCGAGTGCAGTTCTCTGAGACTAAAGTGCATGCCTTAACTGATAACTATTAATCCTTGTAAGTCAAAGAGCCTGCACACATATTTGTCTTTACTTCCTTAAATAAATACACATATACAGTATTCCAGTGCACATAAATCAATCCATTGCAACTATATTAACACAAAATTCTCAGTTTAATAGTTTGATGAGTGTTGTATTCTGTATGAATCTATTAATACAATGAAATGATATTTGTAGACTGACATAAAGCAGTTAATGTTGCTGGTATTTACTCCTTGGTTCTCATGACAAATGGCTGGATTTTTGGTTTGGTGTAGTTTTAAAACAATAACACTTTTT